GATGAAATCCAGCCATTTGTGACAACATGGATGGACATTGAGGGTATTATGCAAAGTGAAATAAGTCAGAGGGAGAAGGTCAGATACCGTATGATTCCCTTCATTAAGTAGTAGATAATAACAACAACAAACAAAGACATAGAGACAGAGATTGGATTGGTTACCAGAGGGGAAGGGGGGAGGGAAGAAGGCGAAAGGGATAATTCGGCACATGTGTGTGTGGTGATGGGTTGTAATTAGTATTTGGGTGGTGAACATGGTGTAATCTATGCAGAAATAAAAGTATAATGATGTACACCTGAAATTTATACAATGTTATAAACCAATGTTACTGCAAAAAACAAAAAATTAAAAAAAAAAAAAAAGAATCCCAGTCTAGTGTTTAATGAATTGGATTCCACCATGGAAAGAGCTTCATGCCAAGTGCTCCTTCCCCAAGGGAGGGAAAGTTGCCTTTTGTCGGGGTGCCTTTGACCAGTGAAGAGCAAATGACTGGACATTCATGAATTACATTCATGTTATAGGTGCAAAAGCCACATGTGGCTTCATGTAGAAGTAATGTAGTTTTGTATTCTCAAAAAAAAAATTAAAAGTTGTGGACCCTTAGAGACAAAGAACAGACTGTTTGCCATTTATGTGACATGACTAAGACCAGCTAAACACAGCAAACATGTATTGAGGGCTTTCTATGCACCAGGCATGTGCTAAATTCATTGTTTTCTGTTAAAAATATTGTCCACTAATGTTAAAACCTAACAAGGTTTACAAGAGATTACACAAGATAATGGAGGAGAACTCCCTTCTGATTGGAGGACCTCAGGGAGCAAGCAATTCAGCTATTAATTGAGCTCCTTCTAAGAATGAGACATCATGTATACAAAAGGTGCTCAACTAGGAATCTGCACAGGTGTTTGTATTTGCACCTTCATGATCTCTCTCTCTCTGTCTCCCCGTCTCTCTCTGTCTCTCTGTCTCCCTCTCTCTCTCTCTTTCTCTCTCTCTCTTCATCTTTCTTTCTGTCTCTCTATGACTCTGTCTCTCTCCCCAACATGCAGAAAGACCTGATTCATAAAACACAAAGCACTCACAAAGAGAAACATAACGTGATAAAAATAATGTCATGATAATAATAAATATGATAGATTCCTTAAACCTGCCTCACAAGTGGAAGATACTAGGTAGACACGGAGCAGGGAAATAGCTAGGGATCTCAGACAAACATCTCAGAACAAGTGAAGGACTATGGATGGAGCTATTTCACGAAGCACTGGCAGAAAGGTGTGTTTTGCTTCCCCTAGACCATGATCTGCCATCTCAGCTTCCTCTGTGTCAAGTATTTTCATTCCAGCGTTGTTGGATCAGTATGGAAATGTACGCATGAAGAATTAGTATACTGTGGATATTCTGGTCTTCTCTATCTTTGTTTATGAGCAGAAAAACATCTTTACATTTCAGAACTTAAAACCCTCTTTATCGATAGTAGTATAAATAACACAAGAATCACAAAATTTTTCTTAACAGGAATCTATCCAGACTTTGTAGATGACCAAGATCAAACATGAGCTGTAAACTAAGAACATTATAGAATCATTTTCATGGTCTCTGAGGCTTTGGCTAAACATATACAATCTGGAGATATTTAAAGGAAAAAAAGGGTCAAACTGAAACAAAATAGCAACTAGCTTTGAAGCATCTTCTCAATGCCATCAAATTCACCACATTATGTCAGAGTTCTGTCTCCAAACCCCTTGATCTCATAACTCGAACTGAGCTGCTGAAACCTGGCCTGCCTGGGTCTGCCAGAGCATCATCCTCACATTAAGGAGCCATTTTGAATCTTACATAAATTCCTGGAAGGATGGTGGTTCCATAAAAGGCTTTAGCTTTAACTGTTGAAGTAATCATTTTTGGTGTATCACAAACACGTGCTTTTTGACGAAAGAGAACATCCATAAAACATCTTTTTGCGAATATATTTTTAACAATTATAAGATTAAACTCATTGCTTCTGTTTAATTTCAATTAGTTCATTGCAGTTAAACTCGCTTGATACAAAGATTGAACTCACGCTTTATCAAAACCCACCCTTCAGTTTCTTAAACTGTTGATTCAATGCAAAAGGAACGTCAGAAAATGACATTTGAAGTACTGCTTTCTTTTAGGGAAAAGAAATAAAGGATCCTTTTGGTTTTAGAAGTTCTGCCGTGATATATTCTGATTTTAGAAGACATTGTTTTCGTCTCTGAAATGTTGGGTCTTAGACTTTGCTTTCAAACTTTGCTGGCCACAAGTGAAGCTAACCTGCGCAGGTCCCCTCTGTGCATGCCACCCGGGGCTCCAACCCTCTGTGCACTACCTGTGGGGTCCTGCCAGTCAGCTGCACTCAGGCCCCTTGGGAGGGAGGTCAGAAGCCTTCGCTAGTTGACCACTCTAAGGACACTGGGAACAGAGCTGGAGAAACTCTTTCTCATCCTAAATCTGCAAGAAAACCCAAGTGGTGGTAGATGCCTTCCAACCACACCCTTCTGTTCTACTCACCTTGGAGCTGGCGGCCCTTGTACAAATCTCTTGTTTTGGTTGGGTGGGCCCTGGCTGTGTTATCACATTTTGGCTGTTCATACCTACGAGGAGGGGAAGGAAAGAGAAAACAGCGGGTTTGAGACTCTGAATTGGGTGTTTTCTTCCATTTCTCGCATGTTCACATAGGAGTGCACTTCCCTGGCCTACAGCACGTACTGTGGCACCTCTCTCCCACTTGGGATATACGACCTTCTGTGACCTTTGCAACAATTTAATATAGTAAGCTTGTTTTTTACAGTCAATAGAAGAAGCAAATTGCATAAGGCTCCGTGTCTCAATCCAGTTTCTGAAGCAACTCTTGTGCAGTAGCTGCAGGACGCCCACACTTCCCCACCTCCATCTATTACAGGATCTTGATACAGTTCAGAGCGGGGAGGGGTTTGGGGAGGAGAAATGTGAAAGGACCCCCCCACCACGCTACCCGCCGTGTGTAAGTGAGGGCAGTGGGCATGGCCATGCAATCGCTCCCCTCAGGAGAGAAGGCAAGTTCTCAGAAAGAACCTCAGAATTTTCGATTTCTATATTACTCAGACTAACCAATTCTCAGTCCAATTCATGAAGCTACAAAAGTTTGTCTCAGTGTTAAAAAAAAAAAAAAAAAAGCTCCTGTCTGGCCCCATGTTGAGTCAATAGAAAACCGCAGAGAAATCCTGACTGGGGTGGAGTCCTGACGCCAAGCAGCCGGTGACCGTGGTGGCCAATGGTTACTTCCACTTGTGAAAGCAGGCACTTCCGTGATTCCAGAATTGATGATGATTCTAGATTGGTCTCCCTGATGGGTTTCAGATCCAGGCCCAGGTGAACAGCCTGTAAACGTCCCCAGTGGGACGTTCCTTCAACAGTTCTTTATAAAAGATCCTTTGGTCCAGGCACTAGGTGTCAGAGACACAGCAGAGACCTACAGGGGGGTAGAACCACCCCAGCCTAGTGGGAGACCGACAGTTAAATGCAACCTGCCTCCAGAGCACCTAATGTAGTCAGAGAGGTCAGAAAAGATACTTGGAAAATGTGAACGACAAATCGGAGCCGGTCAGGAGGGGGTGCAGGTGGAATGTTCTGAATCCAGAGGCCTGCTGGTTCTCAGGGAGTGAACAGGCTTCCCCTGAGTCCTCCTCCTCTCTTTCTGCCCTATTTTCCTTTTTCACTCTCTAAGAAAGGGACGCAAGATCATATTTACTTCATGCGGATCATTTCAGATTCTTATTTTTCATTATTTCTTGTTTTCCCACCATAGAAAACAAAAGAAAATGAGATTGCTCCCTGAAAGGATATTTTTTTAGTGTTCTCCCACTGGCGCCCAGAGAGCAGGGGCCAGTCCTAGAGGGATGGGTCCAGCCCGGCTGTAACAGATCCTGGCAACCACGGGCTCCTCCGGCCGCTCGTGCCCTGAATAGCCTCATTGATACCAGAAAACTTAACACCCCACTCACACAAACTTAATATGTCTTTCTGAAATGCTGTTTTTGAAATTAGAGCCCCTGACACACTCCGACAAACACTTAAGCTATCACGTTTTAAACAAATGCCATTAACTCCTATTCTTTTGAAATGCCGTGGGGCTCAGCACAGATGGCAGAGAAACTATGGTCACAAGAAGGTGCGCACGGGGCACAAGGACCCGTTACCCCACCAGGGCATCTTCTCTCCCACCTGGGGCTGCAACAGGTAGATGGGGCCAAAGTTCACCAAGAGAAGATGCGTAAGGGAAGCCGGCTGATGAGGGGACTGCTGAGCTCTCATTTCTACTTATGCGTGTTAAATTTGGAGAACTTGGGCACACTCTCAGGGCTGAAATCTTCACTTCAGGCTGTAGGTCAGCGTCTGCAGAGTTAGAAGAGGTTGGAATTGATGCCTATCTTGGCACTGACATCCTTCACAGCCAACAGCCATTGAAATGTGAGCTGTAAAAAGACAAGCCAACATCCCAGCACCTGGTCCATTAGGTAGAAGCCAATGATGGGATTTCCAGTGGAAAACAAAGTGCCCGTCCATTCTCAGGGCCACCTTGTTTCTGAGAATGTCAGAGAGCACACCTCGGCACAGCCACAGGCTGCTCCGTCATGTTAGAAAGTTGAACTGTTAATAGCATCTCTGTGTGGAGCCTCCAAAATGCTTAGGAGTCAACGCTCATGTCCTTCACATGGTTGATAAGACATCGTATCATTTCCAGTCCCCCATTCTGAGTGGTTTAACTTGGAAGCAACCTAGAAGCTAGCCATGCTGGATGGTCACTCTGGTTTGGTTCCAAATTTGGGTTGGTATCCTAGCACCAATGCTGGCATAAAAAGATATATTTAAACGGCAATGTCCTGCTCCTTTTAAAGAATACTGTGAGATGCTGTAATTGGCAGGAATGGCAATCTCAAGAAATAAAGTTAATGCCTTTGAAATCTCAAATAAAAACATGCAAATTCGTTGTTGATATCCATCGGCATTCTTTTCAGTAGTGTTTATTTTAACTTATTTGTATAAGAAAAAAACGAACATCTCTTGACTGTCTGGTTGCCCATCAGATACCAGGCTCTCTGCCAGGGAGAAATGCGATTTTGTGCTCACGTGGCCACGTGCACATGGCCGGAGAGGAGATGGGCTCTGCAGCCAGGGAACGGGGGCTGCCCTAAATCAAGGTAAGAACAGCCTGCAGTCTGATGGCAGATGAATAAGCCCTTCATCAGCCATCGAGAAAGGGAAAGAGAAATCTCTGTGTTCTGGGTCCTAGTGTAGTAGCTGGCAATCAGCCTGAGCCACATCTAATCTGATAGCCCATTCCCACTCTCCCCACTGGGAATCGGTGGCCAGGTTGGAACCTGCCCCTCTCCTCCCAGCTCCTGCTCTACCGTGCGTGGTGCGGGCTCACACAGCTGCTGGGCTCCGGGCCACAGGGAGCTGTAAACTGTGGCCAAGATGTCAATTTTGACACAAAAAAGCAAGGGAACCACGGGGTCCACCTCCTATTTCTACTTGGATGATCATCCCAACTGGAAATTCTGCACTGGAAGGGAGCTACTCTCTGCCTCGGGTAGGCAAAACAGTGTGTGTTTACTGCCCTGGGCACAAGTCTACGACAAAATGCATGCTTTTTAATTATCTTGCATGCTAACACGAAGAGAAGAGAGCTAGCTTATAATGACAATGCATTTTATATTTATGGCTTCTTATCTTTGTTGGCTTTTTAAATTATTCTTCCCCATCAGAAGATATAAATATAGAGGATGACTGAGGAAAACAAAACTTGAACTATCTACCCAAATATAAATCAAAACTATAAAGTCTCTCCCTGGAACTGCTTATTTCAGAATATCAATAAGAAAATAGCATTTATGCAACAGAGGGTGTTTGGTAATGCAGAAGACTCTGCACCATTGCTGCTCAATCACAGTAGAATCAGCGGTAGATGAGGGCGTGTGAAGCTGGCCCTAGCTAATCAGATATCCTTTAACGTTGATGATTTTGACTCATTTCCTGATATCCATGCCTCCCTAGAGATCAGGTTAAACCAATTCCATTTTTCTTGCCCATGATGGGTTTAGCCACGGCCCTTCCCCCGCCAGCAGAGGCCTGGTCATGGGATGACCTTCTGGCCAAGTAGAGAGAGGGGAAGTCCAGCAAGCACTGAGGGTCAGTAGAGAGGGTTTCCTTGCTGTCAAAAAGAGTGACAACATACGTTGTCATGGCTGCAGATGATGCTTCTAGAAACCACGACAGGAACGAGCCACAGAGCGAGCCAGTAAGTTGAAGACGGCAGAGCAGAGAGAACAAAAGTGGCTTATTAAAATTATGTCCTGGAACTGCTGAAATAATATGGACTTCCCTTCGCCTTCGAACCTGGTGAGTTGGTGAATTTCGGGGCTGGCTGAGGGTGAAGACTTTCCGTACCCGCAGTGGAGAGCAGTGCGCTGTCGAGAATGTTTGCTCTCTGACATCCTCAAGCACAGTATAAAGCCCCTGAGAAAGGAGACCTTCTCTCCTTATTCAACACCACATCCTCAGTCCTTAGAACGCTGCTTGGAGATCACTGACAATAGAATTTGTGACGGATGAAGGAATGAATGAATGAAGGAAGGAATCAGTGAGATAAAAATACAGCAGGAGTCTAAGTGGCTTCTCCATTGGGTTCAATTTAATGCTGTTTCTTGAAATTCAAACAAGAGAGAGTTATTCTGTCTTGTAGGCAAAAATAGGGAAGATGAGAACTTGATGCTTTTCCCCTGGCATGAAATCCCAATAAAGTCCAGGCAGAATGAAATCAGGACGGACGGAGGGGAGAGGTTATGATGTTTCTTGCCCCATCGTAATGTAAAACCATCCACAGGTTCTTTAGGATAACATTATAAATGCTGAGCTCATCATTTCAGAGCCCATTTGAGGAGTTGTGGTTTTGACAGCTTAAGGATTTTTTTTGGCCAGTGCTAAGAAACATCTGCCAGCGACACTTGGCCCCTGTTCTAGAGGCGAGGCTGAGGGGCCGGCACGGCAGTGGAACAAGCCCCGGGCTGGGGAACAAGCGCCCCCACTTAAATACACACGAAACAAGCCAGAATTTTACATACCCAGAATTATTGTTTCCCAAAAAACGTTTCTTAGAAAACAGCACTCCGTATAACCAAAAAACAATTTCTCACACCAAAACTCTGAAAAGATTTACATCCTCTTCAAGCCTCACAGAGCACACTTGTTTGACGACCTCTCGTCACAGCCCTGCAGAAGCTGAACCTCCGCCGCTGGAACACCCTCGCCGGGGGCTGGAGGCTGCTCACTGGCTGCAGCCGTGAGCGCCATGTGGAGGGCGTGTGTCTGCGCAGCGCGGCCGCCACAGGGGACGCGCCGCCACGAAGGACCAGCTTTAGCACCACCGTGTTATTGCGATTTCCAGAGCAGGGCTCCCAGGAGACTGGTTTCATTGAAGGAGCCAGACGGCGGACCAGGTGTGTCTGGACTTCATCGTGACGAAGTGTTTATGAGCTGGTGTCTGTCCTTCCTGCTCCTGCAATCACATTGGCATGTCTTCTCCTCTGAATGCCACACTCATAGTCACACTTGAAAAAGAGGGGGAAATCATCTAGGAAGTGTCAAAACGCTCAAGCCCAGATGCTAGAGATGACATCAGTGGCTAAATTTGATAACACTTGAGAGAGATTTTGTTCTATTTGTAAACTATTTTTATATAAATCTATGAAAAATCAAAGGTCAATTCATATAACAGAAAGCTGCAAAAACATCTTCCCTCCCATTTACACTGTTTCCACGAACAAATAGCACGCATTCTGCAGGTGCTACTGTGAAATTATTTGCCTTGGTCAGACTCACACCAAACACGAGTAAGCTGCTCTGTATCTTGGGCCCTCGAGTAACTTCTCCTCTCGCCTTTAGCACATTCTCGTTTTTTTTTTTGAAGTGGTAATTTCAGGACACAAATATTTTTATGTTACACAAAGCCATTTAGGGCAATCAGTCCTTTCCGCTTGTGGCATGTGAGGCTGCTTTGCCAACCCCAGGAACAGAAGGGAGCTGCAGCTGACACTTGGCACACTCTGAGTGCCCACACAGCTGCAGACGCCAGAGCCACCTCGCACAGCTCCACCTGCATGCAGAACAACAGGAGCAAACGTCGCCTCAAAATGTCAGCCCTCAGGGCTCTCATGATGTCGATCGTACAGTCAGCTCCTGGTCGCTGTCAGGGAACCGTTTCCTCTACTTTCCGATGGCCAAAGCCATCCATCTCTGCAGGCACCCTGCACAGAGAGTGGGGCCAGGTCTACACTGTCCCAGCAAGGTCTGGGGGTGTGGGTATCCATGCCAGTGGAAACTGGAGGGCTCTGCCTTGCCTGGTTTCCCGCCCCACGCCTCCCGCACCCCCGAGAACAGCTTTACCTGGTGGACGTGCCGGGGATGGGCCGTCCAGTGTCCACCAGGACGCACCAGCAGTAGCCCGTGGAGGGGTGGCACTGCACCGGCTTGTAGAGGCCGCCGTGAGCGCACTCAGGGATCACCACGTTGTCGTTCTTGGGCTGCCTGGCCTCTTCCAGCGCCGACTGCTGCTCCTGGTCACACGAGGACACTGGAGTGACAAGGAGACAGGTGTGAGCACGCAGCCCGTAGCTAGTCACCACGGAGCCCGCGGAGAGAGGCAACGGAAAAGGCGCAGGAGCCTGGGAGGAGAAAGGGGCACCGGCTGCCAAACGGAGAAAGGAGAGAGAAAGGGGCCAGAAGCACGGGCATCCCTTTCTCAGTGTGTCCGAGGCTCCTGCTGCCACTTCTCTGTCAACGGTGAGAGCCGGCGGTCATCGTGGATACACAATCTACCAGTAGATCTGACGCCCCATGGATTCTCGGTCACGTGACAGCCAGGCACCGGGGCAGACACCTGTCTAATGAGTCCTGTCGACCCTCCTACCACTTTCCCAATATGCCGTCGGTCACCGTTCATACCCACCAGGAGGGGACCCAGAAGAACATCCACTCCCCCAGCCTCCACCTCCCCAGGTCTGGCTGAGGCTGAGTCCCAGCAGAGAAGGCTCTTGGTGTCTAAAATGCGATCAACCCCACACAGCTGGAATCTCAGCTACAGTGCTTCTTAGAGAGGCTAAGTTACTGGAAATTAGTGAAGAAGAAGAACGGGTATTCTCATTCAGTTCTGTGTGCCAGGCATTGTGCTATGTAAGTTCTGAAACTCGTTCACATAAAAACAAAATAATTACTTAAAAAAATTCCAGTACCAGGCATTGCAACATATAGAGGCTTATCTCTTTTTGTGTTAACACACTCAGTTTCTCCTTTGTATTTAGACAGGATCTAACTTATATCCATCTTCTGCCGCAAATAGTTAAACTGAGAATGCCTTAGAACGTGTGTGTATTTAGACAGCCTGAAAGAAGCACGTTCTCAATATAAAAGCACAGTGGGACATCTGGATACTCTCCCAAATTGTCACCCCAACCAAGGAGAGAACAGGAGAAATATACACTCACAACACACACTCCAAATGCCCAAGATCCTTGAGATAAAGGTTATTGGCTGGCGTCCTCACCACAGAAGAGAAATGGATGATCCATGATGAGCAGTACGAAACAGGGAGCTATGCTTCCACATCCATCACCCACCCTCCACTGAGGAATCTCACCAACTCCACCAAATCCACTCATCCTTGCACACAAGACAATAGATAGCTGTGGATCACTTGTGCAAGTTCCAGAGTAAAACTGCAAATTTACAGAAGCTCATTTTTAGAGCAGGACTGCTCACGCCAAAGTCCTCCCTCCCTCTCTCTCTATAAATAATATATATAATATAACCTATATTTAATATATAGATTATCTAATTTATCTTCTGTTGGCGAATATAGCTTGTTGGATAAAGGAGCCTGTGTACTGCGTGTGCGCACACACTCTGCAGGGTTCTTTTACAAACGAGCTATAGGACGCAATTGATGGTTAACTACTGAAAACACACAAATAAAAAAGAAACTCTAAACTCAGCTGAAAAATCAAAAAGAAATGAAGATAAGAGTTTGTTAAAAGTGTGATTCGAATCAATAGAGAAAAGGTTCTGCTCTTCTGTCTCTTTTCCTTTTAATTAAATGTTCCCACAACCTTCAACAACACTCAGGTTGGATAAGACGCTGTGCCTGACAGTTAATTCAGGTGCAAACGCCGCGGCTGTGCTGCTGTGCGGTTTGGAGCTTGTGGCATCCGTCTTTGCCCGAGGCCCCAAGGCCCTGTGAGAAAGCAGGCCCTCCAGGGTTAGAGATCCCGCCGGGCACGAAGCCCCTCAAGGCCACCCTCTGGGTCTACATCTGGAATGCGACCCGTGGCTCCTTCACGGAGGGCTCTCCCCTCAGTGGGTGTCTAGGCCACAATTAAGCTCAACATGTAAGAAACTCTCGTGGGTACAGTGAGGATTCTGGATGGAACCAGACAGGTGAGGGACCGGGCATCACTTCACAGACCTCCCCCCACCCACCGTTCATAAAAACCAGGACAACAATGTGAGTCTGCGGCCACGTTTTTAGTCTTAGGTTGCAAGCACCAAGGCCATTTGTAAGCATTTTTCAAACATTTTTATTGAAATTGGTGCTGGACCAGGATAATCATTTTCTACTTCTTTCAATTTTGTCACCAACTTTTATTTAAAGTGTTGCTGAACCAAAGGGGTGAAAATCCTACACGCCCAGCTTATTTTTGAGTGTATTTAAACCAGTCTTAGATCATGAGCACAGTGCGGTATATAAGAAAAGTGTAATGACAGAAGTGAATATGCAATAAATTTCTAGAAATGACCATGAGACTGACTTGCTGTTAATGATAAGCAAGGCCTTATCTAACAACATCTAACACTTGGGGAACAAGACAGTGACTATTTATTTAGTGTTCCATGTGCTAGCCCTGCACTGAACTTATTTCACGGGTTTTCTCATTTCTCATGACATCCCCTTTGACAGAGGAGAATTCGGAGGCACGGATGGGTCACCAGGGCAAGGCTGCGCAGTGAGCAAGGGGCTGCCTGAGAACTCAAACCCAGAGCCATCTGACCTGGGAGCACACCTGCTTGACAGGCTGTACTCTGCTCCCGCAGGTGCCCCGCTGCTTCAGGGCAGATTAATGCACACGCCTTCCATCTGACGCTGAGTTAAACAAGCTCTAAACATTAGCCAATGCCGTCAGCTATTCATACTCTTCAGCATCATCCTGAACAAAAGCAGGTCACCACCTGAAAGCAGCAGAAGCCGTCACCTGCCCACACTAATCACAGTGACAGGAGTCCACTCCACTCAGTCCTCCTGGGATGGTAACGAAGTTGAGTCAAATACAATAAGGTGGAGAATACTTCATTCTTCACTAGAAATCCACGTATGGTTTAAAATATAATTTAAAATACATTCAGCATGTAATATTCCAAATGTTCCTGTTCTGGAAACTTCCAGCCTAAATACATGGCATTAAAAATTAACACTGGCAAATTAAATCTCCCTCCTCACTCATTTATAAGAATGCCAAATTTGGGCCCTTGTTTGAATTTCATCTTTGGAGTGGGGTTTCTCTGGGTGTGGCCTCTGCACCACTGAACCAGAGTCATCCCAAATGAGCATCCCACCATGCAACCACTCACCCTCTGACTCCAGGAGGCTGGGAGATTAAATTTTATCCATTAAACCAGAAAGCCGCTGAGTCTCAGAGACGGCAGGGCCCTCGGTCAGCCCTCATTTCGTGGAGGAGCTACGGGGAACTAAGCCTGCTGTTCACGGTCAGACACTCGGCAAATAACAGAGCAGTCCTTGACCCCAGGCCCACACGTCCGAGGACACGCTCTCTCCCTCACCTTGAGCTGTCTTTTGGGATCTAAAAATTACATTCTTTTGCTTTCACATTTCTCCTTATAAAGGAAAAGAAAAAGCCAATACATTGGATGAATATATTTGAAATAAAATCTTTATAGCACTTTTCTGCTTATCAAGATTTTTCCATAAATTATGTTTCAGCCTGCTTATAGTTTAAAGAGATTTTATGACCATAAATGTGACTTCAAACAGGTGGAAAACAGCACCAGGCTGAGAAAGAGCGCACGTCTGTGTCAATGCAGCCACAGCTGGAGCTGGGCGGAGTGGCACTGGGGGGGTGATGGTGCCTGACTCAGATCATGTCAGAAGAACTGAGGGAGGTTAGATATGCAGAGTGGGGCATATAGACCGTGTTTTATGATTGTTAGCTATTATTTTCACTATGTTTCCAGTGCTGAAACAGTGACTGGCATATAACAGGCACTCGATAAATTTATTTTGAGATAATAAATTGTAGTTATGACAATAATAGTTAGGAAATCATCGATATTTTAGCTTCTGTAATAACTCCATTTACAATATGAGGATCACCATATATGAAATTTTGTGATTAGTCCATCTACTGACTATATTATCAAATGCTATTAGATCTTTTTGAAGCATATAATTTCAGCATATGTACTGGAAGAACATAGAAATAAAGGTTACCTTTTAGATTCTCCCATGTTCCTAACAGTGACTTCCCTACTATGGGTTCCTGGGGTGACTTCAGCCTCCTGGAACAACAGATGATGAAGATAGAAGCTAAATTGTTCTGGCTGTCCAGGTCGACATTTTTTTTTTTTTTTCCTGAGGAAGATTCGCCTTGAGCTAACATCTGTTCCCAATCTTCCTCTTCTTGTATGTGAACTGCCACGACAGCATGGCCACTGACAGACGAGAGGTGTAGGTCTGCACCCGGGAACCAAACCCAGGGCCACCGAAGTGGACCATGCTGAACTTAACCACTAGGCCACTGGGGCTGGCCCAGGTCAACATTTTGTAGGAAGATCTCAGAGCCCACAGATCATTCAAATCTCATGTAGGTGCTAAATCGTTTCCATGAGCAAGAGAGGAAGGAAGATATTGGCCCTTGAGCACACAGCACGCACTCCCGTTCCTAATAGCGGGAGCTCTCATTCCTGTTGTGGGAACCACCTCTGCGCTCTCAGCTCAGGCTGCAGAGAAGCAGGCAGTGTACCCAGCTGTGGCCTCTTAATGCTCTCTCTCTCAGGATGTGAACGTTGAGGAGGCTGGCAATGGGTTCTCTGTGAGTGTCCGGACCACAGGAGCCCACTCGAGGACACTGAGCTGTCTGAGCTGCCCTCTGCTCTGCAAGGCCTCCATGTATTTCCAGTTGTTCCCTGTGGCTTTCGTTACCCAAAATCAGATTTTGGGGGTCTATAAGTTAAGAACCTTAAATAACAAAGTTGTGCTTATAAGACAGTCCAACATTAGGATTAGGCATTTGGTTTTCAGCAACAGTAATTAATACTCTATTGATTTGGTGCACCCAACAAATATTGGTTGCAGAACCCATCTGCCTCAGGCACTGTTCTGGGTGCTGGAAAGATCACCCATGTAGGCAATTTGTAAATGCACAGTTTACCTCTAATACATAAAAATAACCAACGGCCACTGAGTTTCTTATAACGTCACCACCCAATTCCTTTAAAATTTCATTTTGATTGTTTCCTACAAGTTCTGCACTATCTTGTACACTCTAGATTTTGCTCAGCACATAG